GGATTTTTTCAAATTTATCAATAGACTACAAGATTTCTAAATTTTTTGGATTGACTAGCAAGTGCTTATTCTTAAACGAACACAAAATACATATTAAGTTTTTTTCAAAAATTGGCTTAGCTTCGAAAATCACTTAATCAGTAATTTATTAAACTAGAAAATCGAACGCGCTTCCATCGAAATATTTAATATCGACAATTTAATTAATCAATATTTTTACAAATTCAACTCATTAATGGTAACTATTGCCAAAGTGGTCACCATAGGAACGAAAAGCGACAACAATGAAAACGTCACATTAACTTTTTAGTAAAGGATTTGGATCAGTAATCAATTTTTTGTTTATTTTAATGAAATAGAATAATAGTTTTAAATGATATTTAAGAAAAATTGACTTGACTTAAATAATATTCCCGATAAAATAATGGTTTTAAATATCATATATAAATAAAAAAAAATGATTTTTTTGAAAATTGTTTTTTCGAGATATGTCAATAAACAAGTTTCATTTTAAGAAAATTTGTTTAGTAATTAATTAAAATTTATTTTATTTTATTTTATTTATTTATTAAAGTCCCAACAGCCTACTGGCCAATTACAGGAACACTATATAGTGCAAGTACTTAAAATTAAAACAAATGTCAGATAAGCTCCTTAAAAAAATTCAAAAAAAGATTTTTATTTTAGAATTTAAAATCTCAAACTTAACTGTCTTGTAAAAAGACAATTTAGCGATCATACACCTTCTATCGGAGATTTTAAACACTACCGTAAAGTAAATGAACCGTTTTCAAATTTTGCTAAGGTTAAAATGGAAAATTTCTCTGCTATTATTGAAATAACTTATTTTTCTTTAAAAATTTTTCCTTTCTCAAGTAAAAAAAAATTTCCTTATTCACAAATAAATTACTGTAAAATGTACATACAAATTTAATAAATACGAAAAAAATAAAAAAGCCATTCATTTCTTCCGTAGCTCCAGCGCAAGTGGTTAACATTGGCTCTGGAAGATGGCGCTCTAGTCTGGTCTACTCAGCTGATGATCGACTCCTGATGGCTGAGATTGGATAGGCCGTAAGTGATGCTTACCTTAACCGTAGCTTAATATATATAAAAGGACGTATTCGTCTGAGTACCGTCGCGTACAAATTACCCAAAATTGGTCGACTTTTTAGGGGCCCCCTTTCGGCTAAAAACTTTCAACTCATGTATGTCTCAGTCTGTATATATGGATCTGTATTTATGTGTGACGTATACCAGGATGATGTGGATGTTTTATGTGGATGTGATGGATGTATGTCGAGCGGGTAAATAAAAGCAACCGTCGCTATTCTCAACTCGAGTCGATGCAACCTCCTCTCCGTGAGGTGAGGCACAGGGTGGGACGATGAAAATACCGGTGCGCGCTTTCTTGCGCGGTACATCAAACGAGGACGCTGACGAATCGATCCGGGAGGTTTAGGAGACCGAGGTTTTATCGCAGTCCAGACTACAACAAACTATACTACTTCCATCGTTTCATACGGACTTCCATACGCTGGATTCAGCTCTCTGATTTCTGGTCTGGTTGTTGTGTATACCACTGGGATTTATGATTCCAAAGGATTCTGAGGGAGATGGATTCTCTGTAAGATACTACCAACCCACCAATACTCTCTCTTCTCTTTCTCGTGGGAACACATTTCACGTCGATAAAACTTGAATTATTATTGTACACGTTTTTTACTCACCTCCTCTACTTCAAGAAAACGCTCAAGTATTTTCAGTGATTCATGTAAAAAATTCCGATCTGGACGTATGTGATTATGTATCACAGCTTAGGTCTGAAAAGTTACCTTGTGTGATAATATATAATCATATCTGTTCGTATGTGATCTTGCAGAAAAGATTTCTCTAACAAAAATACTTATATGTCTAATCATTTAATAACCATGATCATATATGATAGAGCTTTTTATGATCATAAACACAAATATAAGCATATGTGATCACACATGATCAATTATTGTGTGACATGTCACTTGATTTCTGATATTACAGTTAACATATTCTAAGCTTAAAGTGAAAAATAAAATTATATAAGCCAAAAGAGCGTATATCTGGTTATGCGCTTTTTTGGCTTTAGGAAATTAAATATTTTGTGATCTAAAGCCAAAAGGGCGAATGAATTTTTTGTGCCATATCATTTTTCATGAATTCACCATGTATCTTCTTTCTATGCAGTTGATTTTCATGTCCTTCATTATTATATTGGTCTAGCTTTATTTGTAGAGCTTTTTTACTAAAAATTTTATAAAGGTTATAAAAGTTTTGTAATAAAACATAAATTTATTATGTCTTTCTGGTTATAATATATCAAATATACTTATTTTTGGTCGTACAAAACATCATATACAATCATATGCTACACTGAAAAAAAAATTAACTTAAATCAAGAGAAAAATTCTTAAACCAAGAAAAATTTCTTATTTTAAGATTTTCTCCTCAAATCAAGAAGCTAATGTTCTTCAAAATTAATTACTTAATTCAAGTAAATTTTTTTTCTGTATACATACAAATTTAAATTAGTTTTTTAAATTTGGAAAAAAAAACAATTTTAGATAGACAACTGAAGAATTTTCATCCAAAGTTGTTTTTTTTTTTTCAAATTTAGAAAATTTTTCAGCTAAGATATATTGAAAATTTCCAACTAATTAATTTCTTGTCACAAAAATGTTCATTTTTTTCCAAAGAAATTTTTTCTCTAAGTGTGTTTGACTGAAAAAAAATCATCAGACAAAGATCTGACTCAGAATGAATATAATAAAAATTGACAAATTTCAATAGACATATGTAATGAAATTAGTGTCAACTCTTGTAAAAAATATCTCCTAATAAACCTGTAATAATAATATTTATACACATATGTTTTTAGTTGTTTATTTATTTATTTGAATTCATTAAATATTAACGAGTGTTTGAATTTCTTCATTTCGTTGATGAGTCGCGGCTTGGCCATCTAAACCTGCATATAGATTGAAAATTAACTTATATGAGCGCCGACAAAATATACGGCAAGTGGTTCTCACTTTAATATTCACACATATATATATATTTTAAACTACTTCTCGTGTGATGTTTGCATGAGAGTCTATACACATACTCGCGTCTATATATATAAAATATATAACGTATATGTTTTTAGCAAAATGAGCAAAAGACACGCCTAACGTGTCCCTAGTCATGATCTTAGTCTTAATTTTTTCAGTGATCGTCTTTGTCATGCCCGTAGCCGTGGTCGTGAAATCATCAAATACCTAATTTGATGCTAATTAGGATTCTTGTGCATTTAAACACCCAGTTTTATATAAATTATGTATACCCCTCAGTCTTTAGTTCTCTGTAGCATGTGGAACGTATTGATAATATATGTTGAGACTTGAACATAAATAAATAATTAAAGTATTAAAAAAAAGCCTTAAAATTTCGACGGATTTATAAAATTTTTAATAAATTTTATAATAGAAGTTAGGAGTAAATTAGACAGGTATATTAAGTCATTCAGACACTTGTCGGATACCAATTGCGACATTTCGTTTACATTTAATGAGATTTTATCGAGTGACTGGTGTAATCAAAGCATACATTACGACAACTGATTTACATTTTAAGTTTTATGCGTTTACTAGTTTTGGTTTGTTTGTTTTAGCACTGACGTACTAGAAGTTAGTTCAAATTGTTTTTTTTTCTTTATTCACAAATTTAGTCATTAATTACTGAACAAAAAATCTTTGTTGTTGTTTAATCTGTCAGATCATAAATCAACTAGAAAAATTAAAAAATTATGAAGAAAAAAATTTTCACGTTATTGAAAAAATGTCTGTTTTAATTTACAAATTAAACAAAATTCCTTAAAATACATCGAGTTTCTTTTAAAATTTTCATTTTAGTTTTATGAAAATTAATTTAAATTCTGGAAAAATTTTTGTTATTTTATTGAACTATTTTCTACAAGGAAAAAATGAATTGATGTTCATAAACATTCAGAAATATTTTCGTACATCATTTCAATAAACCACTAAAATAAATAAAAAGTTTTGTTAATTCAAATGTGCATGCCTTAAGCGCTTGAATCATACTTAAATGAATCAAATTAAAGTTTTCACTAATAATAACTATTTTCAATTTCTTAATAATTTAATATCAAATTTTTTAATAAATATTATATATAAAACGTCAATGGAAAGAATAATTATTGACTGTACACGACAAGAATAAATTGGAAAAAAATCTTAATAATAAGTTAAACATAAACGAATTAATTTTATTAACAATTTAATTTGTAAGTTCATTTAAAATGAATAAAACAACAATATGCTGCCACTTTCATTCCACAATATCCAGTAAGTAAAACGAGGCAGTTTAAAAATGAATTAGAGAATTAAATGGGGTTAGAAAATTGATTTTTTCAAAATTTACCGTGTTTACTTTTCCATAAAAATTTCAAAAATCTATATCATCAATGCATATGCTATTGAAATCTCTTTTATTATGAAAATTCTTTTTAACATCGCGCTTAAGGCATACAATAAAATCAAACCATCTTAAAAAAATAAACTCCTTCATCTTATCTAATACTTTGGTAATCCGGATTTATTAAGTATTCTTATAATTAATAAATTAATACAAAAGAGTGATAATAATAATAATAATAATGATAATAATAAATCCTACTTAGAATGACTTATTATTTATTAAATAATATCTATCTAATGACTAGTATTCCACAGATACATAAACCTAATTAAGAAATAAATCATCATCAGTAATAATAAAAATAATACTAAAAAAATAGTCCGAAAATATAGGCATGGAGAACCATTCATTATCCGCAAGCACTAGCACCGTATCGTTCATATCAGTAATTAAGTGTCTTCGCCCCCTTAAGTCTTTAATTAATTAAACAATAAAAAAACAGACAGCAGTAGCATTCGTATCAATCATTATCAGCTCCAACAGCGTCAATAGAGATCCGAAAAAGAAACCTGTGAAGAAACGGCCGAGTGAAGATGGTGAAGTGCATGGATCTCTTCCATGGAAGTGCCCGGCTGACTGTTGCTGTCAGCACCAAGAAACCCACCACCGGGTCCAATATTCGGAGAATTCCCCGTGGACGAAGGAACCGGTGTGCCAGGACATCCAGTTCCATTGGCGTTACCGCCGACATTAATGCCTCCGCTACCCTCTTGCCTCATTATGTTGCGCCGCCATTTCGCCCTAGCGTTTTGGAACCAAACCTGGGCAATGATTTATCGATAAATCTCTAAGAGTTGTCTTAGCCCGAGTCAAGATATTGAACTTGTGTCAAAATTTAGTAGTTACTTTTGGATACAGGAGGGATTAATAGTGTTAAAACAATTTTTAGATGGTTAAAGTAATCAAGGAAAACATTTTTATTATTTTTTAATTACAATCTAGTCATTAGTTGTGAGTTTTAATGAAGTAGATTGATTTATTCGGGGCTTGATAGGTAATTTATAGTATATCAATGTAATGAAAAAATGCCTGAATAAGGAAAATATATTTTTTTCTGAATTCTACGCTTAATTTAAGATAATCAGTTGTCTTGATTTAAAAAATCAATTTTTGAATCATTGGATATACATTTTTGGATGAGCTGATAAAGTTTTCCAAAAGAATTTGACTTGAAGGAAATATTTCACTGTTTTTAGACGATACAAATATTTATGAGAAAATTTACTTGATTTAAAAGAAAAAATTGAACCAAGAACATCATTTTGAAGAATTTTTTCTCTTTGACTCAAACAGAAAAATTTTTAAATCTCGCAAAATTTCTTCGTTAAAATTAATACGATTTTCAAATAAATATATCATGTAAATTGTTAAATTTTATTATAGAAATGTTTAAAACAATGATTTCAATTTTATAGATTGTTTATATTTTGTACTCAAATTAAAAACTATTTTTACCTTTGTTATTCAGCAGAAATTAAAGCAATAAAGAAAAGTAATTCATAAAAAGTTTGGAGATTATTATTTTAATAGTGCAAAATTTTTGTTAAACTAGTCGGCTGTTGTATTTGAAAAAAAAAGTAAATGACATTTCTGAGGTTTTTTTTTCAAAATTGTCTTATAAGAAAGTAATGAATACTTTGAATTGATAAAAAAATTTGATTTAGATATAAAAGATATAACAAAAATTCATAAAAAAAATAATAGATCGTTCTCTTAAAGTGTTAAAAATTGCAATAATACCGATAAAAATCGGGTCCAAAATTTCGAAGTTACTGTTTTGAAATGGAACAGCCGTCGTAATGAAAATAAGATAAGAATAAATGTTTTTTCTGTAAAAAATTAAACTCTGTAATATTATTTATTATTGTAAAGAACATTTACTTGCAAAAAAAAATTTTACGCATTATGATAAATGAAATTGAAATTATTCCAAAGCTAAATTTGTTTAAAAATATGAATTTAACAATGAAATTGCTTTGCATAGAAAAATATTTTTCTTGAATCAAAATAGTTTTTCAATCAGTAAAAATTTCATTTATTCTTCGAATGATCCTTAAAATTTTCCTATCGTTAAATTTAAACTCTTGAAGCAAAAATACACAAGCTCAAAATTTCGACTCGGGAATTATCACAAATTAGTAAATGTAAATGGTACCTGCAGAACGCGCTTAGAAAGTCCGGTCTTCTGTGCGAGTTGCTTTAGGTCTTTTGCGTCCGGGTTCTGATTTATCGCAAAGTAACTCTTCATTGTACGTAATTGATGGTGCTTAAAGCTCGTCCTCATACGTTTGGTGCGTTGACTCTGATGAATTGGTCCCGGGGAACCGACTGATGTATCATACGCGGCCAACGATTCCATTGAGGACGACAATTCATTGGGATGCATAAGTTCTGAAAAACGATTCATTTTGTATTCAATAATAATTGATTCGCATAAACTACCGGTTTTGCGGTTCTTATTGCGTATGTGTGTATAAAATATCTGTATATGTATAAATTGTTTTATGTATTACACAATTCAAAGGGATAAAAAGTAACAAAATGAAGAAAGGCAACAAGGCAAGATGCCAGTGGATGAACTTGGAGCCAGGAGCAAGCCAGAAATGATGAAGCCTTTTATTGTTATGTGTTGGATCTCGTCAACGCATATCGCATTTGTACGCAGGAAACGACTAAGCACGTGCTCTGGATGAACCATATTACAAAACATGCTACTCCGAGTGTTGTTTCGTCTGTTTGGTTTATTTTCAACTCGCTAAAAAGACCAAGAGACAATATGACCGACCGGTAAAAAGAATAAGTACACCAGTACTCAGGCAGCTGGTTCGTCGGTCATACAAAAAATAAATAATAAAAATAATAATAATATTAAATACGTACAACAGACAACAAAATGTCCAGTGCATTGACGAACCAACCGGATCGATTGGTTTCAAGTATAACGGAATAATGTTTTGTGTCCCTGCAGACTGGTTTTCAGACGCCATTACCTATTTCAGATACTTTTAAATCTTATTGATTATAAATCTGACAATTGGCTGTTATGTTCGCCGAGTCTCTGTACTTTTTGGATTTTAGTTTTTCATTGATGTAATATTATTATTATTTAAAACAAAAATTCTGTTAGGTGTCTAGTTTAATACTCAAAAAATTTTGAGTCCATTTTATTACGAATGTTCATTGATATTGTTATTCGAAAGGAAGTAATAATATTGTGTTGGAGATTTCAGGTTCTTATGATACCCGGAAGATATAAGGAGGCAAAAAGTTATCTTTTTCATTAATGAACGTTTAAGCGTTTCAGTGAGTCAAGTAGTAGAGTTTTCTACAGAGGAAATTAGAGGAATGCGAGTAAAAATGAAAACATTTGAGTAATTGGTTTGTTAATTAAAATTGATTATAAAAATCTTTACAAGTATTGAATTTTTGGAAATGATTTCATGCCTGATCATCCTCCTTTTAAATTCTGCAGATATTTTTCTATCTTTTTACACTCAATGAAAGAGGAATTTTTTTCAAATTTTTTATTTCAGCATTCAATCATATTTTACAGCTAAATTTATCGATTATCAACAAATTTTGAAGAGAGAAGAAGAAAAGATAAAGGAGAAGGGGGAAACTACTCAGTTATAGAATTACTGAAAATTTTGCTAATTTTTTGATATATTTAATGCGAAAAATTATTCATCTCTTACTTGATTGATTTTTTTTTTAATTTTAAAGTTTGAACGTGATTTTTTTTGTTTGTCCCTGTGAGATTTTTTTTTTTTTTTTATAAATTTCACCACAATCTTAAAAACCACAATCTTAAATAAAGAGTTGCAAAATTCGACAGTAAGATAATTTAGTACAGACAAATTTCTTAGGTAATAAAATTCTAAAAAATGTAAACGTTCTAAAAAAAATAGTATCTTATGATTTTTCGATAAATTTACTTATTTAAAGTTAAATTTAGACACATAAAAAATTTACAGATTTTTTTTTTTATTTGTTGTGAAATTTTTATTATTTGGATGAAATTTTATTAACCAAAAATTGAAACGAAATTTTAACGAATAAAAATATTGTGATTTAGAGTGGTTAAATTTGCATTCTTTGACGAAATTTCGAGACTATTTGAAAAAAAAAGAACACATCAATTTTTGATACAGTAATTTTTCTCCTTAAATTTTAGTAAAGCATTGAAATGACTAAAATTTATTAACTGTCTGATGTTATCCTTGAAATTATTTTTAAGTGTTTTATAACATTAGCAACACAATTTGAGGACAGTGATCCGAGACAAATCTCACAACCGCGACATTGTGATAATGAACCGCACTTAAGCATTCCACGTTGTTGGCCGTGCAAAAAAGCTTTTTAAAATTGAAGACCGCGAGTTGACTTAAAAAGAAAGCTGAATCGGGCGCCAGTTTAAATTCGCCATTAAACGCAACGGTTCTTTGGTGTTTCATCAAAAGGTGTATGGCTTCCGGTTAGCGAATCGAGAGACTAAACAAAAAAAGCATCGAACAAGCGTCTTGTGTGTCGCATACCAAGTTATTCCGTCAGAATGTCTTTTGGCATAAGAAAAAAAAAGGTTAAAAAGGTGCGCAAGTGGCTAATTAAGCTTCGGCTATTTAGCGATCGCGACATCAATTCGGGATCATCAGCAGGATCAGCAGGGGGATCGATTGCGCTGGCCTCGGATGGGGCACACGCATCCCATAAAACGTTTGCTTGAGACACTTGATGATGGGGAACGGATACCTTAAGAATGAGGTCACAATTTGTCACGTAAACTTAAATTGGGAACGTTGGTTGGCTAAGAGCTGGATGGTAACCTGGTTGGTTGCTTTGTCCCCGGTTCTCCACTGGGTTCGATAGGGGCCAGTGCAAGAAGTTTACAAACCAGATAATGGTGAAAAAGAACTCCAAGACAGAAGAAGAACTTTAAGAAAAAGAAGACGAAGACGAAGAAGACAAAGAAGAAGAAATAAAGTTCGGTTCTTAAGTTAAGTAAGGGAATGTAGGTATCAATGTTCGCCGGCCATTCTGCTGTTAGTGGCTGGGTATTGGTCCGCGTCGGCATTCTTTTCCGGGAGGGAGCGGCCAATCGATGCATCTCACCGTCGATACCCATCTGTCACTGTCCCCGCGGGCCGTAAAACATACGTTTCTCTTATTATATTATTTTTATTATTTTTATATCCCTTTATTTATCCTCTTATTCTTTTATTCCCTTAAGCCTCCACGATATATAACAATCCCGATCTCATAATTCGATCCTCAACCCCTTGGCTATTGCCTTTTTTCACCATCGAGAAGTAACACATCATGGTATTAAATAAATACCAACAAGTTAACCTCAAAATATAATGCTTCATCATTATTTTGCGCTCAAAAAGTTGCTATAAAAACTACGATGTTAATATTGCCTGTATTGAAATTTTCACGATTATGTGAAAAAATTTTTTATAAGGCCCGACATATCCATAGTTGGCCAAAATTTGATAAGTTAATATATGATCATTGATCATATATGGACCAATCTATCAATACATAATCTGATAAGTCCATATCGATGTTTTAATTAGCAAATTGTCTAACTCCATTTTAGAGAATCTTTCATTTGTATGAAAAAACAATTAGTTCAAAATTTATTATCACTTAAAAAAACAATTTAATATCTAATACAGGTATAAAATTTTGGTTTGGATCATTCATATAATTTATAATTAGACTATTGCTACATCAAAATATTAAAAAATCACCCTTTCAAAAATAAGGAGTTAGATCAATTGCTAATTAGACAGTCGATATGTTATTTCTTTAATATTTTGATGTGCCTATATGTGGTCTCATATGAAAATATATCACATCAGGCTATATATGGTCATATAAAGCTATATCAAACGATATATGGATTGATATGGCTCTATATGATTTTTGATATGTTCTGGCTTGGTTATATATGTAACCTAATAGGAAAATTGGTCGTATTAAGCCATATATGAGTATATAGGATTGTATTAGGATATATTTGACTGGATATGGCTTGATAAACCCATATACAATTTTTTAACTAAAAGTAGTTATAGAAATCGCCGACAGAGGGCGAATAATAGCTGAATTATCTCACTTCAAGAGAGTGAATTCTGGAGTATTAGTATTAAGTTCTAAAATAAAAATAATTTTGTTTTCTATTCAAAAGAGCTTATCTGACATTGATTTTTAGTTCAATCCACTACTTAACTAAATACGTGTTTATTAACGTATAGATTTCTGAAAAATTGAAATGCTATTGTTATTTATTTTTTTATTTTCATAAATAGTCTGGTTGGCCATATCAAAAATTTTTTCCTCTTGTCCATCCACTTTTCAATTCTTACAGTAAAAATTACAATGTTATGATCGTAATTTTAACTGTTACTTTTTCCGTAACGAAATTTTTTATCCGTACAAAACAATAACCAATGACCAGTCCCGATAAAATGTTATGGGTTATGTTATATTACACTGCGATATGCTTTCAATGCTCGGATAAGAACAGAAGACCAAGGACTAAGACTAAGGACTCAGACTTTTCAGAGCAGAGCTATGGGCTACAGGGTGGATTATATACGACTAGTAGGTGAAGAAAAATACGAGCGCAATAAGACTAGGCGAAGAACAATTTTATAGCTCGTGGTAATAAATTCCTCTAACTCGTCTTCACCAGAGATTATACTCCTACAGCTTCAACAGTGTGTAGTGTGTAGTGGTCGCTCTTTAATTGTCGGGCGATTATAAAATAGCAGGCAATGACGTGATCGGAGTTTTCATCAGCTATTTCTGAGCCTCGGTTTTGTAAGACGCTAGTTACTGCTTCAGTTTAACATTTCGCGTTTTCTGACCCTTTTTTATACGGCCACGCTTTTCTTGGAAACACAGAATCTTCTGATTCCTCGTTTTGTAATGTCTTACTATGTACTTTATGATTCGCGGGATTGAATGATTTTTTCAATCGTGATTGTTGCAGAAAAACAACTGGAAGTTTGGCAATTAACGATGTAAGGGGGCTGGGGGTCGGAAGGATTTAAGGGTGAAAGTGTAATTGCCCTGTTGATGCTCGAGTACGGGTGAGTATTTGAATTTGCATTACACTCGACAAACTTTTCAACCGTTTTGTTTGTCGAGTTGTAATCGTAGTTTCAGTTGTAGTCGTAGTTGTGTTTCATTAATGAAATGTAAATACATTTTATTGCAAGTAGTTCAAGTTGGAGTGCTGGTGCTCGTGAGTGGAGGTCAGTATTTTCAATTAGTTTCTGTGTATGACCTGGAATTATTTGTTCTTCGTTATTCATGAGAGTTTTTTTTTGGAAGGGTTGAATTTTAGAAAAAGAAAAAAATTGTATTGTTACTCCGTGGAAAAAATTTTTATATGGCTAATTTTATATCAGACCTGATATGGGTTAATCTAATTATATATGGTCATATCAGACTATCCATAAAAAAAAAAAATTTATATGATTTTGAAAGTAAAGAAATATCCAGAAAAGACCTTCATTATTTACAAGATCAAATAAATTTAACGGTTCTCATAAACAAATATAAAAAATAACTAAATAAAAACAATATATTTATTTTTGATTAAATAATGTTCAATAATCAGAAAAATAATTCTAAAAATAGCCCAATAGAAAAATCAATGGCTATGCGCCACCTGTTAGAGGTTTTCAACACTTATTTTGTTCAAAAAAATATGTACGGATATATCAGACTTATTAGCACATAGTAAGAAATATAAAAAATTGTTAAAAAGGTAACAATTTATCGCTAACTCGAAAAATTAATTTTTTTCAGTAAACGCTCTTTTTTTCCAGCCGTAAGGACTTGTACAAAAAAAATTTTATTTTTACCATTTCAGTTATCTTTTTAATTTCTACTATTCTGGTCATTAAACACTATATATGAGAGTTTAGAGGGTGATTTTTTAACATTTTTATGTAGCAATAATCCAATTATAAATTATTTGAATGATTCAAACCTAAATACTATATCTTTATTAGATAATAATGATATTAAATAGTTTTTCATTTGAACGTCGATATCAGGTTCGATATGTCCAATTTCCGTATCAGACCATATCAAAAATTTTTCTCACAAAATCAAAAAATGTTTTTAGTTATGAACGATTACAAGCTTCGAAATATAAACTTTTCTTGAAATAATGTCCAATAAAACAGAAACTATAGTTTCTTTAAAATAAAAAATCACCTGCAGCCAATCGCATCGAAACCGGCAAATCAGACCTCGAAATTTCTGAAAGTTTTCTTTTCCGTGGCCTCCCTTTTTGCACATTAGCAACGGGACTTTGCTCATTAGCACTGTAGTACCCAGTGAGGGATGACACGTCCGGTGAGCCGAGGTCTTCAACGCTTCCAGCGGTATTTCCGTAGTCCGCGGCACAGCAGATTAATTCATAGTGTGGCCTAAAATCACGTCACGGAATTTTCATTTCTGATCATCATCATTAATCACTTATTCCTAATAACATCAGTCACCTGCAATAAACAAGTCCATCACGCTGCCCAAAGTGATCTCCCTTGTTAAGAGGGACCCCACAGGAAGCGCAGACAAAGCAGGCGACGTGGTAAACCAATTCCCGTGCTCTCATCACCAGTTCTGTTGCGGAAATTCCAGCCCGACATCTTGAGCATCTCGAGACAGCAAACAGCCTGGAACAATGATAAATAACAAATTCGAACCATTAATCAAAACAATGTGATGTTGATACCAAAAATAATGATAAAAGGCATCGCTAAGTTCTCAAGTTGTCATTCGACAGTAAAAACAATTTCTTACTCTACTTCGAATAGGACTCCGATTGCGCTCTTGGCTCTTAATAATTCCACATATACAACACAATGCAACGCAATACCTCTCACGTTTTTACTGGGACCGGGTATAGTATTATCATTTTAGCAGTACAAATACTCTCTTTACTTTTAATCCCACAATCTTGTGTCAACTATCGTAGCATATAACACAATGATAATAACCTCACAAATAAGATCTGACATTATTTGGTTTTTTTTTTTCTTTTTTTTTTTTGCGGCACAAACAAGCCCTGCATTTAAATAGACCAGCTCTTTGCTTTCACCTCTTGCTCCACCTCCCCAGCCACATTAGCCAGGGCCTCGCTGACTATCGGGCAGCAAGGTACCCCAGAAATGGCAGACAATGCAACAGCTCTGGATGATATTTTTCTCCGGGAATATTTTAATACGACAATAACAACAGAAATAATAAAATCCAGGAGCTGAAACTTAAGCTGGCGTTGTCCCCAGTCGCGGGCTTGTAATTCTTGGTATCGGAAACAAACCATCGTATAACCGTTCGATTCACCATCACCGTTCCCTGAGGTAAACACACACGCAAGCATACAAACAAAGGATCTTTTTTTAGTTATTTATTTAGCTTTTTTAGTCTGTTTCGCTGGCTCCAGTCCGCAGTATATAATTCCATGCTTCTTTCTCTCTATTCATCCAAACAAAGTACGTGCGGGCCAACGCGGTACTCCGACTATCGTGTAAATATATATATATATATATATATGTGTATGTATGTACTGCGGTGTACTGGATACTGGAGAACTCGAGAGTAGTCAGTACTCTTGCATTGCATTGTTGCATATTGCATGGAGTGATGTTGTTTTATGCCCTAACGAACCAGATATACCTAGGGTTATTTTTATAATTATTTTTTTACTGAGAAGCTGGGGATGATGCTTTTAATTTTTCATTTTCAACCGGGGATTTTTAGCTAAATGTCGGGTGGATTTTGTTATTTTCATTATTATACGCTGTTTATAAACAAGCAATCTTTTATCACATTGTTTTGGAAGCAAATTTCAATGGCGGTAATTACAATTTTTTAATAAATTTATGGAAAAAATTTTTCGAATTTTTAAATTACACTTAATGATTTTTACGATTGATAAATTAAGAATGGAATAAATTGTTAATTTTTCACAATATTCATGATAGAAAAATAAGAATCGGTTCAATTTATTTTAATTAACATGCATGAATTTGTTTATACCGAAGAAGCTGAAATTCAAAAATATATTTTTTAATAAATCGGATACAAATAGAAATTTAATATTTTTGTGAAATTTTATTAATTTCAATTTTATTGACTATGAACGTAAAAAAATCATATTTAATGATAAAGTTTAAAAAAAAATAAAATAAATAATAAAGGAAAATAATTTTAAAGAATTTCGTCATTTTAAATCAAGTAGAAAAATTAAACTGTTCTTGTTTCCGTCGAAATTTTTGAACTAAAGAAATTTTTCTTAGTTTACGTAAAATTTACTTGATTGAAGATTTTTTCTTTTGAATCAACTTTATTTTTTTTTTCTTCCAGTATTTTGATATTTATTCCGTAATTTTTGTCTTTGTTCAATTTAATTAAAATATATATTATTATTATAAATTTCATGAAATTTGAATAGCGCTATTGACTAACTTTATTGATAAGTATTATCTGCAAAACAATTATATCCAGTAATTTAACACACATTTAAATAATGATTCGAATCAATAATTGAAATTTTAACTTGCATGATTGAATCAATTATTGATTATTAAAAATCTGTACGATGATAAGTTAATAATTTGATTCTCGACAACCATCATACGTATCCTGATCTCCTTTGACATCATATTTAATAGATACGAATAATCATAATTTATGTTTTCTCAATACCATCAATTTTCCCAATCAATAAATTTTAAATATTCATACAGTACCAATGATATGATTTCTGTTAATATTGTGGTAAATAGTATTATTTTCAGAGTACGTATTTACTGGACAATAACAATTATATTTATTTACCAAAGAGCAATTTTTATTTTTAGTAGACGTAAATTGGTCTGCAGTTCGAATGTATCAGTGTTACTATGCTTAAAGTTGAACTACTTGCATTCAATCAGTGAAAAATTCTACGATACTCGTTAAAATTTTTTCTGACATAGCTGCAGAAACTCGATAAAGGAATTTTTATTTCCTGGAAAACTTTAGAATATTAAAAAATAAAATTTTACATAATTTTTCACAATTTGGAATTGAAATAAAATTTTTTTGTTCCTTAAAAAGTTAAGTTTGATAAAATACAATTTTTACTTTTAAATGTTGAACTGAAAATAAGCACTTAAGCGATATGAATTAATTTAATATGAAATTGAATTTCTATTTTCTATTTGCATTTTTTTGATAATATGATCCATTTCTTCAGTGTCTTTAAAAGTATGGAAGAAATACTTGAAATTAAAATTAAGAATTCAAATTTTAAGAGAATTTTTTTCTGATATTTAAAACAATATTTCAGTGACGGCAAAAAAAGTCGCTTCAAATGAAGCTTCCTAATTCAATTTATGGCATTATCAGTAATTTTATTCACGGAAAGTCATTAATACCAATTACAAAAAATACTGGAAAACCCTATTGTCATCCCAACGGAGGATAATTACCACTAAATAGAAATTCCGTAGAGCAATTTGACATGCAGACAGTCGACAGGTGATAAAGTAGGGAAAGTTTGATTAATTTAAAATAAAGATAAAGTTTTATCGTAAATAATCGGTTTGACGTTGATGAGAGACAATAGAACAATCAAAATAAAACGGATCATTCTTTTAATTTTTACAATATTTTTTCCCCATTTGTTCAGTTAGTTAACATTGTGATTGCGACTTTCACTTTTAGAGAAAAATTCTAACCGGTACAGTAGAAAGATAAGAATAAGACTTTTCCTGTGCATCTGAAATTAAGTATTTGTTTTAGTATTATAAAGAATGTGCGATTGTATACAACGTATGTAATAATAAATCAAGGGATAACGAGACCGGCTGTTATACAGGACAGGAGTAGCAACAGCCAGTGCTTCTGCTTCTCAAAGTCCTGAGATTTCCACGTCAACTACCGAGCAAGTTACGTCAATCAAAATTTTTACTTTGTTCACATCGTCTATCGTCTGTTACATCATTCATTCGCTACTGCCAAGGTATTTACATTTTATATTACGTCATTTTTTATTATTTGCTTGTCTAGTGTTGACTAGAGGAAGAAAATTATTTTTTTAGTTTTAGTTTAAATTTATGGGTGAGAATAATGGGGATGGCTTTTTTATTTTTTGCTTTTTTTCGAATAGTCTTTAGTGAGAAAGAGATTAGCGAGATAGTAGACGAATCTTAGAAAGGGAAGATGGCCATTAGTAGACATTTTGTGTGGTCCCCAGAAGGTATATGGTATATGGTTTATAAATGTATGTATGTACCGTATTCGTATTCGTATAAGTGACGATACTATGCAAATTCAACACTACCGCAATAAATACCGAGATGGCGGATGTGTGTTGGGGTATAGAAAATAACGCTCGAATCAGAAGCAAGCATTTTGCATTAATTCTCGGTTCCCCAAAGGACACCGTAATTTGCTGTATAATATTACGGTTTATTTTTCTCTTTTATCTCCTCAAATATTTCTCTGGAAATCGCGGACTCGAATCTTTGTGAAAAGTATAAGTATAGGTATCTGAAGAGAGATTCTATTTATGAGAAAATGTAGGATAATGCAGAATGATGTTTGCTGAGGATGATAATTGGAATTCTTTTTTAGATAAAGAAAGAAAAAATTCTTTTCGAGAATCAAGAAAATACTTTTTGGATAAGGTAGAATTTTCTTGGCTTGAATTAATTTTTATTTTCTGAGCAAATAAATTACGAGTTTATTGAAAAAAATTTGTGGCTTGGGTATGAAAATTTTTTATTTTTATTGCGGTGATTTTGGAAGCTTTTTTTGGATAAATAAAATTTACGATGAAAAATTGAGATGAAAAAGTTGTTATAAAAGTTGAAAATTTTATATTGTATATTTTTTCTCTTTAAGAGACGAAAGATTAGTCACTAAAATAAATTCTATTATTTAAGAAATAAAGTTTTTATTATTAAACTTGAATCAAATTCTTGAATCAAAAATTTTTTCTTGTTTTTTAGTAAATTTAAATTCTTAAGTTGATTTTTCTGATTCCAGATTTTCGTCCCTGATCAAAAAATTAACTAAATTCAATAAAAAATTTTTTGAACTAAAAAAATTATTTTAAAGGATTTAATTATTTTGAATTGAGCAATTAAGTTCATGGATTTATTCTCTTGAGTCGAAAGTTAATTTTTATATCCAGCGTAAAAAATTTTTTTCAGTTCAAATGTAACTCTATTTTAAAATTTCGCCCTAATTCAGACGATTTATGTCTTCAAAATATTTTTTTTTGTTAAAGAATTGCTCTCTTGACTCAAATTAATTTATTTTTAATTCAATGATTAAAATTAAAATCATTAAATTAAAGTGATCTAATGCAGTGTCTATATATATTTTTTATTTAGAAAAAAAAAAACGCATTGTTCACTTGAGCGCTGCAGTAAATTTTTAATAAAATTCAGAAGCTCACCATTTATTAATAAACATCTATTAAATTGACTCTAAAAATTTTACAAAATAAATTCAACTAATATTCATCAGGACACAAAAATAATTTTGGACAATAACAGCAAACTGACCTGTAATAATCTTCTTTACAGTAAATATTGCCATCTCTTGAGAAGCAAGTAAGCTCGGCTGCCAAGGGAACCCGGCAATGACAGCACCTCAGACATCCGCAGTGCCAAGCGCGGTCAGCCGCCCTGAGATACCATCTTTCCGCGATGTCTCTTCCGCAGCCGCCGCAAGCGAGTCCGCCAGCACCACCCACGACCTCCGAGTGGACTTTGTCGCTCTCATTGATGTTCTCTCGTCTGCTCGGGGTCGTGCAGTCCCCGCCTGGGGGTGTGCTACTTCCACAGCCCACTTCCTTCAGCATCACGATCCGCGGGTCCTACATTCTGATAAACATATCACGTTGTGATAATGATAAATAATCAGTCATCATCCATCATCATCAACATCATCACCCGTCTCTCATCACTCAATCATTTATCTCTTAATAGATTATTATGTTTCTTATTTGATAATGAATTATTTTACACACTCATCCTCTTATTATTTCCAATTCAAATACACAATGTTATTATTTTTATTTTTTTTAGTACGATGATGGTATAAAAAAAGAAAAAAAAGCGATAAAGATCATTTAATACAAAAGCAATTAAGAAATTAAGGATAAACATGATAATAAGATACCAATTAACGTTCAATGTGTAATTTAATCTTATATGATGATATCGAAACGCTTGGAAGGATTTCTTTGCTCTTTTGAAAGACCGAGAGAGAAGGAGAGTAGAGAAGCTACAGCAGCAATAAGAGTTACTTCCTGAATGTACTAAACAGCTGTAATGTAATATAATGTTGTAAGATCTTATAGCGGAAAGCGAGCGAAATAGGACGACTTTTTTTTATGTAAAAAAATTATTGTCTCCTGATTTTTTTTCGCTTAAAATTTTTTTATTTCTAATTCAAAAGTTAAATAATAAGTTACAATTATAAAAGAAAATAAAATTGTTTGTTGAACAAAAGCATTATTTGGGAAAACAAAAAGTTTCTTGGCTGGAATAAAATTTTATTGAACTAAGAAAAATTTTTTCTAGCTCTGAAGTAACTAAAGTTTTTTGTTGAAAAATTTTTTTTAATTTGTAAGCTGTTTTACATTATAGAATGACAATAATTAAATGTATCTGTATTTAATCAATAGAAATATTTAGTGAAATTAAAAAATTATCTTGTACTTTTACAATAATAATTGACTACAAAAATCAATTTACTCGTGGAAAAATTTTCTGAAACGTCTATCTATATTTTTGACATTAAAATTGGCGATATGAGACCCAAAATATATACCCTTATATGAGAAGTTCAGTTTCAAAAGAATATCTTTTCAGTTTGATTGATCGAAACAAAAAAGTAGTTATCTTCAATCATATCAAATATTTTTATTGAACTTTTTTAATTTAGCTACAAAGTGCTATCGGTTATAAAGCTACAATTCAATTTTCATTTATAAATCTTTATAATTCTCAAAGTAATTAATATTTAAAAGTTCAAAAAACTGCTCTTTTAAAATACTAAAAGATACCCTTCTATAAATCAGCTCCTCATATGCCCGTGCATAATTTTCTGACCAAAAGTAGTGTTCAAAGCTTCCAACAGATGGCGCATTGTCGCTGAATCTTTTCCTTACTAGAGAGTTGATTCTTAGCCATTAAGTTATAAGACAAAAATTATATTTTTGACAATTTTAATGAGCGTATCTGTCATTAATTTTTAATTAAACCAATTTTCGTTTTAATATATTAATTATATTTACATATTCCAGCCTGATATGACCATATCACAAAATTTTTCCACGGGTAAACATGAAAAACTTTGACGTTATAAGTAAGCTATTAAAATGATGATCAAAGTGTCGGTGAAAAAAGGAAACCCAACAACAAGTAACAAATGACCCGAAATGAGTTGCTAATTAATCTAAATACAAAAAGGGCCTTAAGTGGATCGAGTTGAGAGTGTCAAAAAAGAAGGACTTAACCTCACGTCGAGAGAGGGAGATGTACCTCTTCGCGAGGAAGAGAAAGATTTAAGAGTAGTAAAGGACGTTGAGTTATCGCAGAGACGTTTGCCTTGGCTTAGCTTCTACCAATTAGCTACCTCGTCGATTCGAAACTGAGCTACTACTCCGGAATCCATTCATTAACGGGACGCCGGTCACGAATTGTTTTCATTCATGGATTCTCGTGCGTACCCGTATACCCGTACCACACTCTAGAGAGTAGTATTATATAGGCTCGAGCACGCGCCTCTGAGCGTGTCCTGAATGAACCAGAGACCAACCGACCAGCAACCAACAAGACACCAATCTCTTTCTCTTACATATTAGCTCATCGTCTTCTTCTTCTTGTCTTTACTTGCTCTATCTCTCACTTACTCCTACCCCTCTCAAGGCCCTCGCTTCCTCACTAAGCTCCCGTCTATACCTACCCACCTATACCCATTATTCTATACACATATGCTCATGCGAGTTCCCATTAACCTGGACGTTAACGCGAATGACTTTGTTCCTTCGACCAAGATGATACGCTCCATGATTTCTATCTTCTCTAGAGAATCATTCGCAGTACTTTGTTTCGCATTACTCTCCACCGATTACTTAGATGTGTTTATACAAAAACTACTAAAAAATTAATCTTTAACCAAGAAAATTGGGTTTTTTAAAGAATTTCTCCCGCGCAAAATTCTTGAGTCAAGATTTGTTCGAAAGTATCCTTTTTTCGTCAATATAGTAAATGATCGAATCAAGAACAAATTATCGAAGACAAAGTCGAAATTTCGCTGGCAAATGGCGTTTCAGTAATCACAGTCATCCATTTTGGTGATGATAGCTCTATTTTTCTTTCTCTACATTAAACAACCTCCAGTATATCATTATTATTTTAATAAGTATATATAAATACAATTTTTATTAGAACAGCCGAATTTGATTAATAACTACTGTGAGGTTACTTTAAAGATTTTAATAACAAACCAGCAACATTGCAGTCACTATGTGACTGCCGTGACTTGTGAATTATAAATAAATAAAATTTTACTTTATTAAATAATGACTTTTGTTAAATTGCACTGTACTTTTTTAACTATTGACATTTTTAAAGATATAATCTCATCCCGATGTGACACTCATCAAGAGCTTTCATTTGAGTACCCACATGCATTTTTGATATATTTTTCATATATACATATATATAAATATATAAAATATATGAAAAATTGATGTGGGTACTTAAATAAAAGCTCTTGATGAGTGTAATGTCGGGATGAGCTTATATCTTTAAAAATGTCAATAGTTCAACGAGATATTTGTTAAAATACCCTGTACTTTCTTAACTATTGAAGTTTTAGAAGATATAAGCTCATCCTGATGTTACACTCATCACGAGCTCTCATTTGAGTACCCACATGCATTTTTGATATATTTTCCATATATACATATATATAATATATATAAATATATGAAAAATTGATATGGGTACTCAAATGAAAGGTCTTGATGGATGTAATATCGGGATGAGTTTATATCTTTAAAAATGTCAATAGTTCACGAGATACAAGGTCATTTCTTAATTATATATCTAGAGATAGAGCATTTTCGAATGCAGCCTAAATACTTATCATATAAATACACCGGCCACAAAATTTTACTTATTCTCTTAATAATATAGATTTATTTAATTGTCGATGTTCATTTACTGGGTAACCTTTAAGTTTATATTGTTGATAATTGATCGTTAAAAAAATATAATTCGATTTCGTCGACTCCTAATAAAGATAACAAACAATAATAATCGATTTCGAACATTAAGATAATTTTTTATTTAATTAAATCTTTCTGACATCAGAAACTAGATTTTTAAAGATAAATAATCTGTACTGCAATTATAGTTTCATAAAACTTGTAATATCTGCAAGTAATATTTATCTGTGAATAATTTTAATAAAAATTTGTGTTCAATTCCAACATCATTACTTTGTATAAATAAATCACTTAAAAACAGAACGATTATTTAGTAATTTTTAATTATTTACTGACTATTAATGAACCATATTTAACTGCTATTGTATGTTTGTTGAGTAACCTAGAAGCTATTGATGAAAATTTTGTCGTTAAAAATAAAATTAACTTTTGTGATTAATGAGTAACGCTGAAAAAATTTATATAAATAAAGTTGTCTCTCAATATTTCCATCTCAACTCTCAAAAATTTTAACGACCAACTTTCTTGTACTTTCTCGGCTATTTTATTTATACCTTCCTCTCATTTCTACATCCAACGGAGGCCGAGCCCTCGAACCAGAATCTAAAACAAGTAGCTATTAGTAGCGGCTACGGGTCAAAAATTCCAGATCTTTAAGCTTAAAGCCTGAAGAATAACCATCATTAAAATTCATCACATTCTTCCCGCCCCCTCTCTCCTTTTATTTTTATGAAATTTATAATAAATAATTAATGATACCAATAAAACCATAAAACAATTAAAAAAGTTATCAAATTGTTAGATGAATTTTTAAAAATTGCTAACTATTTTCTATATTTTAACCATAAAAAATCTACGTATATTAGTCAGTATCTCATTACTAAACAGACTCGTGATCATCATGATACTTGTATAAGTATTACGTCTGTATTGCTACAGTCGCGAACCTTTTTCTTCACTATGACATTTTTCCAAATTCTACCAAGGTCTTAGTAAACATTAAAGTAATAAATAAATATTGTTTCAGTAATTTTGATACAATATTTACACATCTTTTGTAAATGATTATTTACATCTTTCGTAAATGATAATTAATTTTCGTCAGATTAATTTATGTTGTGATAAATTTTGTTTTGAGAAATTATTGTACTTGAGATATTGAAATTTTTGCTGAGAAATTCTGACGTGGATAATTTTTGCGGATTAATAAAGGCGGGGAGCCTTTTTTTTGCTATTCCTCAAATTTTATTCGTAGGATATAAAAAGTTTCGACTACTTAAAGAATGATTTAAACTTTCGGCAGTTTCTTAATTACAAGGTACGTATCAATTCAAGTTTGGTCAAATTTTCATTTTCGTTTCGACTTTTTCAGATAAATTACGTGAGGTATTGAAGAATTTTACAAGAACATGCATGTACCGACAAACGTTATGAATAAATGCATAACTTTGTAATACATATAATTTTCATAAAAATGTTACTTTAATTGAGTATTTGAGATAATTATTAATAAAATTAGTTATTATCTTCAGAAACAGATAAAACATACAGTGCGAAGTAAAATAATTTAATAAGAAAATTTTCTTGATACAAGAACATATTTGCTTATTATATTAGTT